AATATTTTTGCATGTTTTGTGGTACTCGCATCTGTGGCAATTGTTTGATAACTATTTCTACTTTCAGCAGTACAAAATGAGACGGACCAACAGTAGAATATAATAAATTTAGTATTTTATTGTGTTATTGTGGGAGAAATAAGCGTCAAACTTTGGCTCTGAATATATATATATATATATAGAAATTTAGTATTTTATTTTAGGCTCTGAGAAACCCAGCATGTCGAACGGTGTGATTTTTAAACCACCAGTCATCTGCAGGGTTAATAGTATGAATTAAAAATATTTTGTCCGTCATATCGAGGTTTGACTGTATTTATAAATAAAAGTAAAAGAGTTAATGAAGTAAATATTGAATGGGACATGTAGGCGTATAGCCAAAAACCTATTTTACCTTCGGAACAATTGAATATTTATCGTGTGGGTAGCACAATCGTTTCCGTTTGGCAGCTATCCAACGGTCAGACACCGCCGAATTACCATCGTATTACGCGAGCCAACAGCTTGCGTCTTAATCTATATAACACACAGCGGAGGCCGCAGGCCCGGTTAATAACTTGAGGGTTCCGCACCGGGTCCTTCCACTAAATTCGGTCCTTAATTTAGTCCGTATTACGACGTCGGTGGCGGCGCGTTTCTATTTACTGCGCGCCGCGAACCGACCGTCCGTGAGATATTTCTTTAATTTCGCCGGAAACGTTTCCGTTATTAAGATTTCCCGCTCGTAATTTAGGATGTTCCCTAGCAGGAAACCCGAAAATTTACTTAGACGCAAGGGGAATTCTTCGGCGACGGCAGTTTCTTCTTTTTCAACTGCTCCAGTTACTTTATACGCACCCGCTTATTAACATTCTAATGTCTCGGTTGTAATTTAGTGTCGTTTTTAAATTTTCATAAAATAACCACCTCTTCCGTCGGTGCTACACTGACGATTTTAGTTTTTCGAATAAAAATAAAATCGGAGTCGCATTGGAAGTGGATCTCGTAAGTCGATATAGAGCGATCATTTCAACGATCCTTTCAAGAGTGGATGCTCACTCGAAATGCCCTGAAAGTCCTTCTCCGTCGCGGAAAGACGCCCGCTTTCTCGACATCGGATCCTTGCAGAATCGAAACTCCACCGCCGGAACTAATATTCGAAATTCCACGGCTGGATTTTCAAGATCGCCAACGCGAAATATCAACGGTCCTTCGAAACGCGCGGTCCCGATTGATACGACTCGCTCGATATTCGGTTGGTTTTGGCGTCGGCGTCGCGACGTCTGGCTCTAGTTGAATGCGAATACGAGATTCGACGCACTCGATCACGCGTATTTGCACAAAAACTCACTAATTAAAGCCAAATTATAACTTTAAAAAAGCTTTTGAAGAGGCTAATTAAACGATACAATTTAGAACATTTTATTAAATGAAATCAAATGTTGAGAGAATACTAACAAATTGGTTGGGAATTTAAGGAATCGCGTGCGACCCACAACGGCCGATAATACTTCTCCCTATCGCCACGTTATTTATGTCTTATACATTCGGGCGTTTCGTGAGCCCATCATCTCCGTTTCGATGCTTATCGCAAGTTTGATAAATACCTATTGAATCCGCTTCGTTTTTCATTTTGATTTCAACATCATTTTGAACATGAACTAATAAAAACACATTTTCTCATAATAAAGAGTTTTTTAGAAATTGCAGTAAAGCATTAAAACTTTTACAACCAAGTTTATCTACATAATTTGCCTGTTCTCTCGTGGTACAAAGCTCCATTCAATATTCACGTTGTTCCACGAGCCGTACATAACCGCATTACCTCCTTACATTGACATGTAGGTATATATGTAGGTACATTCCACATAGACCAGACATCAGATATGCGTAGCGCGAAACCTGCAACATGCCTAGAAGGCTACGGCATAATTTACGTAATATCAATTATCCGTGGGCGGACCAACATCCTACCAATCGTGCATGCTCGTAATGAGGGCAGAGGGCGAAGGTCGAGACTTAGTACCGTCTTGTAAACCCTCCAAGGGTTGCTTTTGAACTAACGAGCATGAAATCTAAATGGCAATTTGATTTGAAGGTAACGAACAATTAATAATCATAACCATTGAACTAATCTCTCACTTAAGACTGTAACAGTATTAAGAATTAATATTAAGATAAAGATTTCAGATAAATAAATTTACTCCTTAACATTTTCTTCAACTACATTATCCCATGTTTCCCCACTGTGACTGTACATAATGTAGACAAAAAGGTCACGAGGGAGCGACGTCTATCTCTACGTCCTCTACGTCCTGAATCCCTCGTGTCAGTAGGAAGACGACGTCGTCGTCCTCGAATAGGATCGACATGTCAACGAGAGCGTAAGGAACATCTCCGCCCTCGTCGACCGTATTTAGATTAAACGCGAACAAGTAACGGGTGGAGTTGGCCGCTTTTCGACGAAAAACGCAAGTCCCCTCATCCGGAAATTGATCGCCCTTTAACGACCACCCTCACCCTTAACGGTAATGGTGGACCGGAATCGCCACGTAATACCTTTGTATATCAAAATTCGTGTCGACGGTTGTTTTGTTTAGCTTTATTTACATACATATTGAACGCTTTGTGTATCGTTGAAAGTGCCACAGACGAGTACTCCGATTTGTACGACTCCCAATCCCTCTCCATGTATATTTTACAAATCTTCATGATAAATGTGACTTGAGATAAAACTCAAATATTTATTTGAGTAACATAGAAGTCATTGAATCATCACCATAAAGATATTAAATTTTAGATGTGTTGTGTAGAATTAGTCTTGATTATATAGCATTAGTCTTGGTTGTAGAGTTTTATGTGTGTATCACCCTAGCGAAACCAAATTGAACATCAACTTTGAACTTGAATTCTAAACTAACTTCATCCAGTCGAAAACTAATTACATTTGCTAGAGCCCTGTGTACGTTAAGAACGCTATCTTATCGCGTTCGTTGTTCCGCTATTGGAGGTTGTGGCGAGGAATTTGCGCGATGGAACTTGCTTAGGGCAGAAATTAACGGGTCGGTGTTCGGTGTTTTAAGGAAAAGTCGTACGATAAATCGGTTATAAACTGGCCGAATCGATAAGTCGGTCGAGAATCCGCGGAGTTAAGCTTAGAAATTAGGATTAGGGGGCCGACCGGGTTCGCTTTTAACGAAATTGAATTCTGGTATATCTTCCACTCCAATTATAAATTATTTTCAATTCGCCAATTATCCGACCGGCGCGGAAGAATGGCCGGCAAATTGAAAATTAATACTTAAAATCGCGTGCCGGTTCGTTCTCCTTCTTTCTTCTCTGTTAGACGCGCGCTCGGACGGACGTGTATTAAATTGAATTAAAATCCAACTTTTCTCAATCTGCAGTGGGTGGTGCCATTACCGGAATTAAAGACTAACGAAACTTGGGCAGAAAGACGACGACGGCGACCAAGATACGTTTTGAAGACCCTTATAAGTACACATATCTTTTAGAAAGGTTGACGAAAATATCTACAAATTGACCTCTTTGCTACGGACGCTATAGAAACCCGTATATACCCATAATATATACAACACGGCATTCCATTCATACACAAATTCCGCAATGACCCGTTTTATTCAAATGTACGCGTCCTCTTTGATATGTTGGAATGTTTTGGTTATTAATTCAAATGCTGAACTATGCTAGGACGTGAATAGAAGCAGTTTCAGTTTTATTGAACAAAAGCGTATTCAATATTAATCATAACTGGAAATTATTATGGTTGATATCCTTAATTGTATCTATTAAAGTCACTTAATTTAGCGATTGGTATAAAACAATTCATACAACTGATTTGTATTATTACTAAAAATTTGGTACAATTTTCAACAATGTACTTATAAAAGGTGAAAATTACATGATATATTATTATAATTAGAATACAAATAAAGGGGATAATTTGCTTTTTTAAGAGATGAGGAGCTCGTTCACTAAAGTACTGCGATAAAAGAGAGTTAAGTTGTCCAGATTGTATAGTAACTAAGCTATATGTACCGGTAAAAAAGATTGTATCACTGGAAACTTTCTCAGGAAACCCTATAATTAATTAGTTAATTGAATCGATTTCTTTTTTCATAGAACAGTATAAAATGGCAACTTTTTTTCCATCGGATTGAAAGAAAAAGAATCGTTTTATGTATACCATTCACATCTGACATCTTGTGTTAAGAGGAAATGTTTATTTTATTTCCTTACAAAAATAATTATTTTGAAGTGAATAATAAAGCTTTAATAAAAATTTGTAACCTTAAACATGTATTTGTTATGTACTCCTACTATTTTCAATAAGCACACTGTTTACAAATTTATAAAGAAGCTTAAGGATACACTCAATTTGAATAAGATTTCAGACGACTCTTGTTGGTTCAAATACTTCTATTATTGTATATCTAATATAGCATATTAGACGCAATGCTGCCTTTATACTATATATGTATTTCAAAAGTTATTAGGCTTTATGCTCTAAAGCAGCGATTCTTTGTTACATTTATAAAATAAGTATCTCTCTGAAATACAAGCGCAAGGTTTTAATCGACAATATTGTTATAATACATTTCTGATCACATAATACACAGTATTTTATTATTTTGTTCTTTTTATTAACAGAGACGGTACATAGAAAGCTCTGTATAGTACGCAAATTCTACAATGTTGAGAAACGCTGTAGATAGGATTTATAACCTATCTAACAAAATCTTCACCACTTATGTACACGTAAAAATACGCGTTTAGAACAAGCTGCGGAAAGACATTCGGAAGAGATATTACGTATCTCTTCCACACAAATACCGGGGACACTTCCGGTTATACTGAAGTTTTTGCGGATCTAAATGAAGTTCAGGTTAATTAATACTTCCTACTTTAAAAGGAAACCATATGATTGTTCCAATAAAAACAGCATCGATTTTGTTGCTATTAATACATGAGATTTAAGTGTTCAATTAAAAATTTCTTACCTTGGGATGTGCTCTTCTAGGAAACGCTACTTTGGGATCAATCTGAAATAAGAAAGAAAAGAAAAAAAATAAAACATCAATTAGAACGGAAAGTTAAAGGAGTGCGGGCATTAATATCGCGTATAAGGAGGTACCATAAAGTTTCTCCCTATATAGACACGTTCTATTAAAGTTAGAAGCTTGATTAACGCCGGGCGAACCGCAAAAGAAACGGCCACAACTCGTAATCGAGAGAAAAACTCCGCGGCAATCGGAAAATCGAGCCGTAAGCCGAAGGCCCTTTGTTTTTCCCGTGGGGGCGGCGCCTTTCCTCTTTTATAAGAAAAGGCGAAGACCGTAATTGCGGCCGAGTCGCCGGCGAACGCCGAACCAATCACGAAAGCCACAAAATTGCACTTGGTTCTTTCTTCTCCGGATGGACCCTTACAAAGCTACGTGTGGTTCGGGATAACGCAAAAACTGTCGCGACCAATTCCGAAATCGGAACACCTAAATGCGATTACAGGTTACAAGATTGGCCCTTAAAATATGTACGCGTTTCGCGACCTCTAATTACACGGTCGACTTGACGTCAATTACAGATAAGGATCCGACACGTACAAACACACACGACACCACGCCCCGTGTAATCGCCAATTAGTTAAGCGTTTGTGACGAAAGGCCTCCCTCCTGACGATTACGTTTAATTAGCACGGACTTGATTAAACGTTTCTTTTTTTACGATCCTTTGGAAGGGTCCGCGTTATTCACACGTATTACATCAAAGATTATCATTAAAACCATCGTAGTGGAACTAATCGATCCGACGCGTTCCATCACGGGATAATTTTGAAAACACCGCAATTAATTTAGTTAATTGTTATCGTACATGTATCGCGATTGGCATAAAAATTCAACGGATCACGCTCGAAATTCGCGGTACCCTCGCCCATTACGCCCCATTTATGCCGACAAGGCGCTCGTTTTAACGACGTACGCGCACATGTGTACAATCCCAAATTAAACCGCGCAGTAAGCGCCCCTTTTCCCGGACCCGCCACCGTACGCTCGCGTGAGTTAATTGCGCCCGAATCGCAATTTAATATCGGCAAAAAACGCCAAAAGAGTTAAACTGGGGACCGACAAGAGCCGGGTGGAGCGAAATCAAGACAAAGAGGACCGACCAGCAACGAAAACAGCTGGGACGCGTGTCTGGCGTGGGGAAAACCGCGAAATTGAATCGTCCTGGTGCTGGCGGTTCTACCCGAAAAGTGGAAGCGGTCCGGTTCCGTTGTGAAATAAATCGGGGTGGAGCTAAACCGCATTAGTGTGTTACCGTTAAAAATGCACCACAGTTCGCCGGAATGCCGCGTATTGTTTCCGTCTACCCCTTTGGTGGAAAGGGCGGTGGTTTCGGTTGCTCGAAACAACGGATCCGGTGGCGCACAGCATTTTCCCGCACAAAAGGCCCCAAAATCAACGTACAATCACGGTGACTTATGACCTGTTTTCTACCCCTAAGGGACCACCGAATTAACCGAATCAGAATCAAATTTATGAATTAAAACTGACTCAGTACTTCATCAATATTTATGATTCAAAAATTTATATTTATGGAATACAAAAAATTTTTCATTTTAAGTATTAATAATTTAAAAAGGTTTATTAAGGTGAAGCAAAGATCTTTATTTATTCACTGTTCCAAGATTCACCTTTTTGAAGATGCAACAAAGGAAAAATAAAGAAACTAAAGATAAGATTATTAATTTGGCTCGCTTTTGCCCTCTTTCTGGTATAAGTATTTTAAGAAATCGCCACGAAACCTTTTTGAATTATATCCAAGTTTTACATTTTATGAAACATGAAAGAGATTGCCAAAAAAAAAAACAAAAACGTTATTTATTTGATGTCGGTAATTATTTGCACATGCTTTATACTTGGCAATAATCATGTAATTGATTGTACTACTTGTACCAAACGAGGCAGAAGAGAACAGATTAAGGATAAGAAGCCAAATGAAAACCTTTCCGTCAGTGAAGTCAAGAAATGTTGTATAATTCTTGATTAGATGTTAAAAGTGATGAGAAAGAAGTTATTGGAGACTTCCGGTGCTGATGATCCATAAATTATACTTTAAATTACAAAAGTTTTGAGGTTTTTGGATGCAATTAAAGAGATGGGGTAGTTTGAAGAACAAAATTTAAGGGAAAGGAGTAATTTTTTATTCAAAATCAAATCTTTTCGATGGGGGCAATGTATAATACAGTTTCTGTTGAATTCAATTAATCACTATATGCTGCATCGAACCTGGTTCATAGGAAGCACTAGTGCATCCCTGCTGTCTATTGGCTTAAGTAAATCTCTCTTAATTGGAGAATGTTGGTAGAGGAGATCAGCGACAGATTCCTACTTGTTTTAGGCTATTCACTGCCATTCAGTGTAGTGAATAGTGTGGTGCAAGCTTACGTATGCTCTCTGTAGCGAAGAGCATTCCGAAGTGGAATTAGAATTCACGATGTTTCGAACTGTTCTCGAACAGTGTTTAGTTTTGTGTTTATTGTACTTTTCTTCCTTTCTTTAGAACCCATCTGCTTAAATTTCCATATTTCTTAAATCCATACTGCAATGAATTGAAATCCCAGTTGCCTATTTTAAATGAAAATAATTTAGCATGACATGTAATGAGTTAGAGTTCGTCAATGGATTAGAACGAGTTAATGATTTCTATGAGATTTGTGAGACTGAAATGCATTTTATAGAGTGAAATTTGTTAGAACAGTCTAAACAAAGGATATCTGTTATGTTTCATGAAAAAATGGGTTTATATGGCACTAGAAAGAAACATTTCTAAATTTTCCTATAAATTGAAACATGGTGCTTGTCAACTAAAAAGGCGCGAACATGCATTAGCACTTAGGTGGGAAGATAAGCGTGATGTTAATATGATAGTAACTTTAAATAATGGATATTTAGAAAATAGCGAAAAGGTAAAGTAATTAACCGGCCAACCAATCTTCAAACTGTGTAATGGATTATACAAAAAATATGAAAAATTTGGACAAATGCGAGTATGTAAGAACACACCAAAAGAGAAAAAGTCTAAGAAAAGCACACTAAAAATGTTGTAATAAAAATACTCCATTATCTTCAGGGTGACTTCAAAATATTATTATCAACGAGACTATTCTTTTGTGCAATACTAGCTATTAATAGCAATACACTATGTTAATTAAACTGTCAATCAAAGTATTAAAACAGAATTGTTTCGAACACAAAATCATTGATATCTTATTGCACGGTTAACGAAAAAAATGGTAGCTGCAATATCGTAATCACTAATTATCTATGTATGAAATGAAATATATTCATTTAAAAGATTCATATAAAAAAGAATTTCATATAACTCGCAATATATGAATGCAGTAAGCATTGTTACTGAATAGAGAAGAACACTTATTAAGTTATTACAGCTTAATAGTACAGGCGTTGGGGAGTTTTGCTTGGAAAAAGGTGACGTCCTTATAATAACTCTGAGTTTTTGGCCGTCTTAAGAGATGCTTCAGATTCTTCAGACGCACGACTAAACCCGAATGTTTCTAGTTCTAGATCCAGTGTTAGTATTAGACCTACAACCAGAAACATTCAGACATGTTGCATTTTATGTGGAGCAAAGTAAGTGGTCTTGGTTTCTATAAAAACAAATTTTTGTATCTTGCAGTTTAAGTGAAATTCACTGTAGGTATGTAACTTTATGCATTATTAAAAAGTTTGGAAAAACAGTTTCCAACAGTTTCTGCTAACAGTTTTTAAAACCAATTTTTTAACTTTATAGAGTAAATAAAAATATTAGAGCACAAAACGGGTCCACGTCCAACTTTGCAGTAGGTCAAGTTCTGCGTCAATAAACAAACGAGACAATAAAAAGCAGATAAGAGTTTCTTCGGACCGGAACACAAGACAATCTTTGTTTCCTGTAAAAGTAATCTCTGACTTTATCAAAGCCTCTAATTATATCCCATTCTGAATTGATCAACAAAAAAATCTTAATACTACTGTTTCGATTAACTTCCAATTAATCGTAAATTAAAACATCTTAATCAAATCGATGGTATTTACAAGAAATTCGTATAGAAATGGTATGATTTTTTAGTTGAAATAAAAATGGTATATATAAATGAATTCCAGAACGAGACTGTAAAACGAAGGGTCAACAACGATTTCTCAGGCGTTGAAGGTGATGAAATTAAGATCTCCTCGCCGGTTCTTTGAGTAGAATGTAGCGTTGCAGTGCGCCGTGGGCGTTGAGACGAAGATGCGGATGACGACGTCGTCGTCGCGGCGACACGTCCCAATTTACCTAAACTGGTAAAACGTAGCGGGCACTAAAGGTGAAAACATACTAAAGGTAAATTTAATACGTCGCCGTCTGAATTTTATTAAATTATGCGGCGCGCTCTCGACGTCTGCCATAAAACCTTTTGAAGTCGCTTCAGTTTGCGATAAATTGACGCGGGCAAAGGGAAATCGCGTTACCGCCATAATGACGTTTTAAGTCATAAAAATTTAACAGAGAGTTTATCTTTTCCTTTAAGAAGTGTCGACGGTAATGAGGGTGAGCACCACGCCGGGTCCGGAGTTTGGCGTCCGGACGTGCCGGCGCTAAATTTTATTATTATTTTAATTTTCAAGTTTAGCCGAGTGGAAGTCCTAGATAAACGGGATTACACCGGCCCAAAGCGGTGATCGTATTACGGGCTATAATAATCGTAAAAAAATGAGGCGTCTTCGCGGCAGTTATCGGTTTTATTACTTGCCTTCTAATTATAATTCACTACCTATACAGATGTGTGTACCCAGTGCTTTACGGCCGCCGTAAAGTCTCGACCTAAAGAACGCCTCGAAACGACTTTAACTCGGACGCTGAAGGATAAGGGCCCCGACTTCTTAATTAAAAAATCTCCAGTTATTTTATTTGGTTAGGTTTTACTTAATTGGAAGGGTTTTTTAAAAAGCGGAGGAACTCTCTAATTACTTGAATTTCCACTTCAAAACGCGAATATTAA